CCGCAGGTCCTTTTCCACCAGGCAGCTTTCCAGCCACTCTTCTCCAAGCCTGTAGCGCTGCATGGGGTTGTTGTGACCAAAGTGCAGAACCCAGCACTTGGCCTTGTTGAACCTCATACAGTTGGCCTCGGCCCATCGATCCAGCCTGTCCAGGTCTCTCTGCAGAGCCTTCCTACCCTCAAGGAGATTGACCTTCCTGCCCTATTTGGTGCCATCTGCAAACTTACTGAGGGTACACTCAATCCTTGTCCAGATCATTGATAAAGATATTAAACAAGACTGGCCGTAGAACTGAGCCCAGGGGAACACCGTTGGTGACTGGCCGCCAACTGGATTTAACTCAGTTGACCACAACTCTCTGGGCTTGGCCATCCAGCCAGTTTTTTACCCAGCAAAGAGTACACCTGTCTAGGCCATGAACCTCCAGCTTCTCTAGGAGAATACTGTGGGAAACTGTGTCAAAGGCTTTGCTGAAGTCCAGTTAGACAGTATCTACAGCCTTTCCCTCATCTACCAGGCAGGTCATAGAAGGAAATCAGGCAGGACCTGCCTTTCATGAACCCATTCTGGCTGAGCCTGATCCCCTGATTATTCTGCATATGCCTGGTGAGCACACTCAAGATGAACTGCTCTATGGAACTGTTGGAGCAGGCCCAGAGGAGGGCTACAGAAACGATCCGAGGCCTGGAGCACCTCTCTTAGTAGGACAGGCTGGGAGAGTTGGGGTTGTTCAGCCTGGAGAAGAGAAGGCTGCGGGCAGACTTGATTGCGGCCTTTCAGTACCTAAAGGGGGCCTATAGGAAAGATGGGGAAAATCTTTTCAGTAGGGTCAGCTGTGACAGGACAAGGGGTAATGGTTTTAAACTGAAGCAGGGTAGGTTTAGACTGGACATAAGGAAGAAATTCTTTACAATGAGGGTGGTGAAACACTGGAATGGGTTTCCCAGAGAGGTAGTGGAGGCCCCATCCCTGGAAACATTCAAGACCAGGCTGGACAGGGCTCTGAGCCACCTGATCTAGTTAGCGGTGTCCCTGCTCACTGCAGGGGGGTTGGACTAGATGGCCTCTAGGGGTCCCTTCCAACCCAAAACATTCTATGATTCTATGATCTTCCCCGGTACCAAGGTCAGGCTGACAGGTCTGTAGTTCCCTGGATCTTCCTTCCGGCTCTTCTTGTAGATAGACATCACATTTGCCAACCTCCAGTCATCTAGGACCTTCCCTGTTAACCAGGACTGCTGATAAATGATGGAGAGTGGCTTGGCAAGCTCCTCTGCCAGCTTCCTCAGCGCCCTTGGGTGGATCCCATCTGGCCCCATAACCTTGTGGATGTCCAGGTGTCATAGGAGGTCGAAAACTGCTTCTTCCTGGATTATGTGAGGTTTATTCTACTCACCATTCCTGTCTTACAGCTTGGGGGGCTGAGTACCCTGGGGATAACTCGTCAGGCCATTAAAGACTGAGGCAAAGAAGGCGTTAAGTATCTCAGCCTTTTCTTCATCCTTAGTGGCAATGTTCCCCCTTTGCATCCACTAGAGGATGGAGGTTCTCCCTGGCTCTTTTTTTGCTGTTAACGGATTTGTAAAAAGTTTTTTTATGATCTCTTACAACAGTGGCCAGGTTGAGTTCTAGTTGGGCTTTTGCCTTTCTAATTTCCTCTCTACATGACCTGACAAGTTCCCTGTACTCTTGCTGGGTTGCCTGCCCCTTCTTCCAAAGCTGGTAAGCTCTCCTTTTCTTCCTGAGTCTCAGTAAAAGGTCCCTTTTCAGCCAGGCCGGTCATCTTCCCTACTGATTCGTCTTATGGCACATGGGGACAGTCAGCTCCTGTGCCTTTAAGACTTCTTCCTTGAAGAATGTCCAGCCTTCCTGCACCTCTTTGCCCTTCTGGACTGTCTCCCAAGGGACTCTCCCAATCAGTGTTCTGAACAAGCTGAAGTCTGCCCTCCAGAAGTCCATGGTGGTGGTTTTTCTGACCCCCTTATTATATACAGTCTCTGCTTATGCTCAGCCATAAGCCAAAAAATGTATCTGTCCTGAAAGTATCCTTTTAGCTTTATGCAAAGAAATGCACGAGCAGTTGGGTTTGACAGTACATTTTCTTTTTTTTAACTTCCAACACTTGAGAAAGAAAAATAATTTATTTATTTATTTAAGAATTCTGGCCATGAACTATTGTTTTGTTCTCTTACTGGAACTTTTATGGAGCTCTGTCTCAAACTTAGGAGAAAAAATAGTTTTAAACTGTTAGGAGCGTAGTGCAAGTCTGAAGTGCTGTTCAGAAGGATGTAAGCTACCAGTGACAAAAGCACAAGCAGAGGTTTTTGGTTTTTCTGTATGCATCTGCAGCTATCTGAGGGGATGTCAGCTGGTCAGCTGATCCTGTTGTTTTTGGAATATTGGCCTTCCTCCCAAATTTGTGACAAGTTATTCTAGTTAACATCCTAACATCTTTACATCCTAAAGAAAAATTGCCACATTAGCCTCCTTGCAGTAACCTTATTGGCAGTATTGGCAAAGTGGTGATAAGAATGAATCACTGCCTTAATTCTTAGTTTGTTCGGGATAGCTATTAGTTGTTGAAGCAATTAGTGGAGATTTGGTTAGAAAGGAAGGATTTGATTCATTACAAACTTAGTAAACTTGTTAACTCTCATTAGTTCCTCATAAACAGTAGGCTTTAGACTAGGGATCACCCAGCCTTACGACGAGAGAAATTCCCGTTTGAACATATGTGGAATGAGAACGGTTACATCAGCAGAGGCCCCAGATTATCCCTTTCCAAAGAATTTTGGAGAGAGGGTAATAGTTAATTGTTAGAAATACACATACACACATATATGCTTGAGTACACAAGCCTCTATAAAAAGATCAGAAGATAGACAAAAATGCAAAATTAAAAAATTGACTAATTAAGGGACTTGATTTTGGAAGTTGTAGGGACAGGGTCTAATATCTTGAAGTGGCAGTACTGAGGTGCAGCAGATTATTTGAATTCTCAGTCTTTTGTTTTCCTCCTGAAGAAAAGATAATGATTTTGAAGTGGTTGAATTGGCATGCCAAAACTAAAAATACAGGCACCCTTTTCTTTCTTCCCCCTTGTTTTTCCTTGATTGCTCTTCCTCACTCATTCTTCTGCTTACTGGGAATCTACAGCAAGGAGAGGAAATGGCCAGCAGATAAAATAAATATGGCAATATATTAAATCGATATTGCCTCAGTCATGTTTATTCTAGACATCAAGTGCTAATTTCTTCCCACATCTCAAATTTATGATTATATCAGGAAATGGCTGAATGAATTGTGTAATATAACGAATATTTTACTGGACAGGTAGGTGAAATTAAATATATTCAGCAGTGATGTTAATGTAAGACTTTTATAAAGAGAAACTTTGGTAAGGTAGTAACATTTATACATTGTGTGTTTATATACTTCTAAGTGTAAGGAGTAACACTTGGGTCTAGGCTTGTATGGGATTTTGCAGTATATAAAAAACAATACAATCACTAAAATAATACTTGTTCTTAATTCTTATTTATACAAAGCTGCTTCAAATTAATTTATCAATGCAAAGGTCTCTTTAAATGAGCATAAATATACTTTGATTTTTGGTGTGAAAAACAGAAATTAGGTAACAGTTTATAACATGATGGCTAGTGTCTTGATTTCATCATGATATTGAGTAGCAAAATTTTTAAATCTCTCTCCAGTTGTTAATTATGAGATAGTTTACACATGTTAAGTCAACCTCTTCATAAAAAAGACAAAGAAACATCTAATTTCATTTAGCAATGACAATACCTAATGTATTAGTATGACTGAGCATTCATATTAGTTGTTCTGGTCCTCTATACAGTCAGGTTGCAGTTTCACATTATAGCTAATCTGTTAAATTGGGTAGGCAAAACAAAAAAAAAAGCTAAGTCATCTCTTTCAACTTCTTTCATGTGCCAGTACTCTTCAAAAAACCATAGAAAGTTTTGTGTTGGAAGGGACCCCTAGAGGTCATCTAGTCCAACCCCCCTGCCTCGGATCCAGGCCTCGGATGATTTTAGTAGCCTTCCTCTGGACCCGCTCCAACAGTTCCATGTCCTTGTTGTGCTGAGGGCTCCAGAGCTGGACGCAGTACTCCAGGTGAGGTCTCACCAAAGCAGAGTAGAGGGGCAGAATCCCCTCCCTTGACCTGGTGGCCACGCTTCTTTTAATGCAGCCCAGGGTCTGGTTGGCCTTCTGGGCTGCCAGCGCACATTGCTGGCTCACGTCCAGCTTTTCATCCATCAGTACCCCCAAGTCCCTCTCGGCAGAGCTGCTCTGGATACTTTCTTCCCCCAGCCTGTACTGATACTGGGGGTTATTCCGACTCAGGTGCAAGACCTTACACTTGGCCTTGTTGAACCTCATGAGGTTCACACAGACCCACCTCTCCAGCCTGTGCAGATCTCTTTGGATGACATCCCATCCTTCTGGCATATCAACAGTACCACTCAGCTTGACTCTTGCTTGACTCTTGCTTGACTCCTTCAGTGTTGAGCTGATTCAGAGAGCTAAACTGACAGAAAATGATCATGTTTTTCCCTTTGTGTTAATTTTGCCTGATTTAGCTCCTTGAACTGGCTTCCAGTGAGGCCAGGTGAATGCCAGGAGGTAGGTGCAAGCAAAGTGAAGCAACTGTGGAGGAAAGATATTCCTGAGAGCAATGCTGAAACTCTAGCTTGTGTGTGCTGGTAAGAGCTACTGACCGGGCACATTATTCAGGGTTATAGCTGCATTTTACTTTCTACGGACAGTTGGCATCTGTACAAGAATTTTAGATGAATACTAAGCTGGTCACCATAGGGTGTGATTGGAATGACTTTTTGTGGGTCTGTTTTAGACTCTTAGATCTCCTTCATTTGCATAAGTACTTTGAAGCTTGCTTAGCAACTTTTTAAAGCCTTATATGTTATTACAGCTGTGTTAAGCAATATTAGGGTTTTCCTGTTTGTGTGTGAATTAACTCCTCTTGTCTGCTTTGTGATCTGATGATGCTTATTGAAGCCAATGGCAAAACTCCAGCTGACTTCCCAAGGATCTGAATGTGTCCCTTAGTCATGGTATGGAGTTATCCCTCCTGGTGATGCCTGTGATTAATAGAGAAGCAGATTTGGATTTCAGATGTTTTGTAAACTTTTTCCTGAAGAAGACTTTGTGCATAAATGCTTTATGGGATAATGGCTTAAGTTCCTAATGTGTTGCTGGTACGAGACTAACAGTATCAGCCAGGCACTGTAGTACTCACTGATAGGATGTTCACTGCTCTGTGTCCTCCATTACCTAAGGTCCTGTTGAACCCTAGAGCTCCAGAGCATTTCCATAGAGTCATAGAATCGTTTAGGTTGGAAAAGACCTTTAAGATCATCAAGTCCAACAGAGTCATTCCTTTAAGCACAATATAACTAATCTTAAAAGTGTTAAAGCTTTATCTCACTTGTCAGAGCTTTACTGGGAGATACTTCAAAGCCACAGAAGCCCATCTCAAAAATTTCTACTTTGTGTTCCGAGTACTAGGTGTAGTTAGCACTGCATTCACTGACACCTACAGAGAATAGCAGGTGTAAAAGGAGTAAGTAGTAAATTAAATGAAGTGCACTTCTTGGGGGATACAAATAGAACAATAGAGAATCACTCCTGATTTTTACTGTTGCTTTGTTGATTCACATGCTGTTAAACTTCTTGTGAGATTTTTATCTTTAATCTTTTTTTTTATCTTGTGAGATTTTTTTTTATAAGGGGCTAGTATGAGCCTGCATAGGATTGAATGAATGTCCAGTGTAGGTCCTGACAAGACAGTCAAATGGCAACAGTCTGATTTCAGATGACTATGAGCTTATTAAATAATCATTAAGAAGCCCCACAGATTTTAAAGATTTTAAGTAAATAGTTGAATAATGATCTACTATTTAGGCTGTCTTTGCTACCGTGAGAACCAATAGTCAGGGTTTAGCAGACTTCCCGTTTGTTCTGACTGTTTCACAGTAAAAGGAAGCTCTGTGGCTTCATTCCCATCTCCAGTTCTACGTTCTTTCCGGGCATCTCTTATCGAAAGAGAATCATGGATTATGTGACTATCATACAAGACTTAAAACTCTGTAGTCTTCTTCCCTTCCATTCACTTTATGACTCAATATAAAGTTCAGCTTATTTTGTTGCTTTTCTTTCACATTAGTGGTTATTTGGTTTTCTGCTTTTTTGCACCTGAATTCTGAAGTAATAAATACATTAATCTTCTAATGTTTTACCAGAGATCCTTGCTATCATTGGTTCAGAATGCCCTTTGATTAGACAAATATATACATATACTGTGTGAATAAATGGTCTAAGTATCTCCTCATGTGTTCTTAAGTGGTCACGTAAAATCCACTCAGATTTTTCTTTTTTCCTAAGATGTTAACCTAAAATCATTTAGAATTTCCAATTTTCTTTACTAGTTATCCCCATATTGAAAAAAAAAAAAAATCACAATTCTGACTTGGCTAGTAATGAGAATCCTTATGAGATCCATTACATTTAGAGATTTTTATTATGCTTTTAAGTTTCAGCAATTTATCATTTTAGAGTGGGAAACTAGTTCGTGGAACTACTGTCAGTGTTGAAAACTGGAGGAATAGAAAGTAACTTTTCTTCTCTTAACCATAAAGCCCTTGCTTTGCATTCAGCTTGCGCTGATACAAACTGCCACGGAAGAAATGGTGGACACCTTTAAATCAGGACTTGATGCCTGTATGAGCTAGTGATACATCCTGGACTTGTTATATGTGATTCCCTGGAAATCAGTATTTCTAAAAAGAAACAGAATTGGCGTTGGGGGGTGGTGGTGAGAATTTCTCTGCTGTACAGGCTTACACAGCATCCACTGTTGAAGACAGTTAAATATACAAACGTACAAGCATATCTAAATACTATTCCTTGAAAAGAGAAGAGTCCATTTTACATACATACATAGGGCTACCAGTCGTTAACCGAGCATATCTTCATGTCTAGCAATTTGAAAGTGTTTGAAACTTCATAAAAGTGCCTGTGATGATGACATGCCGCGTGCAATGAGCAGTTGAAAGAGACTGGTTGGCATATAATGAGATGGGATTTGATTTCTTAATATTGGTTACAAATTATGATGATTTTAAGAAAATCTGGATATTCTGGATTATTTTGAATATTCTGACATACATTCAGTAGCATTATAAGGAATGTGGATTTTAAAACCTCTTATTTTTAAGAAATAAATTTAAGAAAGACCTTTTAAAACTTGCAAAGGTTTGAAATTCCTCTCTTTCAACTTTTTTTCTCTTGGGTTTTCCTCTTATTGCATGGGAAAACAAAATTCTAATATTGCTTTCTCTCCTTTTCCTCCAATAAAATCAACATAGGTGAAACTGAAGTAAGACAGATGCCAAACCTTGCTCTTAGTGCCAGCTCGGTGGTCTGGCTGGTTGGAGTACAGAAACTTGACCCCTTTGTGCTGCTCTCTCCTGTGTTTTTCCCTTAAGAAAGCCAATACAATCTGCAAAGCCAGCATAGATAAAGAGCTCTGGAGGGTTGTAGTATAGTAGCAAGACTGTTTTGTGACCATGTTCTGAAGGCAGACTGGAGGTGACAGTATTATTTACTTTTGTTGCTTGGGGTCCAAAGAGAGAATAAATTGCTATTGATTTTTGAGACATTACAGTGAAGTGTCTGAATGCCTGCAGAATAGCTGGGTGGCAGGGTAGTCGGAGTCTGCATGGTGCTGTGGTTTGACCCGTCAGGCAGCTAAACACCACACATCCCCTGCAGTGGGATGGGGGAGAGAATGGGGGGGTGGTGGAAGTAAAATTCCTGGGTTGAGATAAAGACAGTTTAATAGGACAGAAAAGGAAGGGAAAATAATAATAATTATAAAAGAATACACAGTTGCACAGTGCAGCTGCTCACCACCCACTGACTGATGCCCAGCCAGTCCCTGAGCAGCAATCACTGCCCCCCGGCCAACTCCCCCCAGTTCATATCCTGGGCACGACGTCATACGGTGTGGGATGCCCCTGTGGCCAGTTGGGGTCAGCTGTCCCGGCTGTGCCCCCTCCCAGCTTCTTGTGCACCTGGCAGAGCAGGGGAAGCTGAAAAGCCCTTACCTCGTGTAAGCCCTGCTTAGCAACAACTAAAGCATCAGTGTTATCAACATTCTTCTCATCCTAAATCCAAAACACAGCACTGTGCCGGCTACTAGGAAGAAAATTAACTCTATCCCAGCCGAAACCAGGACACTGCTTTTGAAATGAAAATCTAATTTTCTTGTTCAGTTGTGGTGGTGTGTTTTTTTATTTTCAGAACCAGTTGCTAGAAAACTTTGTTGTGGATGCCATATTTATTATAAATGTATTTTATCTCTCCAAAGAATATAATCCAGCAGCCATTTTCTAACAATTTGAAATAGATGGATAGGGTTTCGTATACAGCCATCTGTGTACATTACTGTTAAGAAGGGAATGCTGAGTCTTTGCATTAGATCAACCACTTCATTAAAGACCTCTCTTCCAGAGGTATAACAATTTATAAGACAAAAATTGTCTGTATGAAAGTGGAAATGACACGCAACTCAGTTTTCCACACTCTCTCCTCGCAAAGCTGATTTCTGCAGGTTATTCAGGTTCGACATAGTCTACGGGTGGCTGGGTGTCATTTGGGGGTGGTGGTGGGAACCTGCTGCTTTTGGATTTGTTACTTTAAGGTCTTACAGCAACGCTACATTGTAGTGACACCTGCTGGGAGAGACCGAAATGGGAGATGTGAGGCTGTGGCTGGTGGCTGGCGGCTCCTTTCCCGGCAACGGCGTGTGCCCGGGGTGGCAGACCGGGATGAGTCACGGTTTGTAGCTCCCCCGGAGGGCGTCTGCTGTCATTCCTTTCCGAGGAGCTCGGCTCCCCTGCCAGATTTACTGAGCCTCAGAAACTCACTAGAATGTCATTATACGTTTGGATCTCCCAGCTGGGAGTTAAATTCACAGCACCAAAGAACCTAGGTGGATGTGTAAAATAATGATGGAAGCTGTTCGGAACAGTGCATCGCAGGAATTAATCTGCTCTGCTAAGGGGACCATATATCAAAACAAGATTTCCCTCTGTTTTAATTGAGCTACATTTGTGTGTTTACTGTTCTGCAGTGATAATTTGTGACTGGATTCATATCTGTTTGGCTGTTTACTATGGAAAAGGGATTTTCCTGTATGATGAAGCTTCTCAGGACCAGCTTCCAAATGTAAACAAACAGAATCTGATTGATTCTTCAGCTGAAATAGTGTAAGGGGAGCTACAGCTTCCTCCCATCCCCAAGCTGAATTGAGTGAAATTTCAAACACCAAGTTGTAACTTTCAGTTTTCATATTCTGTGGAGAACTGTGAAACGTGCAAATATTTTTTTGACAAAAGTGAGAAGCAATGGCATCATGCCCTTATTCCTGGGCTTCTATAGTCCTATTTTTGCTTGCATCTAGTATAGTTCTCTGATTTGTAGTTTTGATGTACTTGTCTTGAGATTTGCCTCAAAACAATCTGGATACTTGAGCTTGAGCAATAGCTATAATTATTGTGATTTCTGTCCTGGATACTGCCTCAGAGACTTTGTGAAGATTTATGTAAAGCAGTTCCCCGGACAAGATCACAAGGCTTTTGTCTGTTCTTAAAGTTACAGAAACCTATTTTATCTCTACAAATTCTCTGCCATTTTGTCTCCATTCAGTTAAGAAGGTTCTCAGAAGTGACACCAAAACTCTAAGGGCTTCAGACAGTTATCCATAATCTTTTTCTTTTCTCCCCTCTGTCTCCATTCCTTTCCTTGCTCTGAAGGCTGTGTCCTGGTGCAGGATGATGATTCTGGTTGAAGTTGTATTTCTGTTGATACCAGTAGTGCCAGAATCTTTCTCCCTGTATTTATTACCCATCCATAAAAGCTGTTCAAGATTAGTTAATTGCCACAGACAAAGAAAATACATTTTCTCGCTTCTGAGCAGCACAGCTTTGGAAAAGATGAAAGACCCTGAAATTACCTCCCTTTATCTTTCCTAAGTAAGGGCTACTTTTATTCCCCAGACTGACAGACATTAAGCTAGCAGCCTCTCTGTAACAGTGAAGCCATGTAACAATGAGGCTGTGCCAGCAAAGATCAATAACTGCCACTTAGTTGAAGGGTAACAGTCTGTTCCTACCTGAACCAGTAGTTTGCCCATGACAAATAATCCTTGAAGATAATCAGATCACACCACTTGATTTAATTTACTTCCTACAGCAGAAGTATTTGTTCAATGGACCACAAAACCCTCTGGTTGAGCATGGCTTCATATATATTTGTTCATTCATCCTATTCCAGACTATTACATTTTGTTTCTATTTCTTATATCTAAAATTTCTTGCTGTATAGTATTAAAAATAATTTTTCCTTTAAAACATTCTCTACTTCAACTCCCTACAGCAACTTCCTAGCCCAGTAAGCGCCAGCTTCTAAAGAGATAAAACTCAAAATAAGTTCTGACGGTGTCGTTTAATATCATCTCATGAGAGACAGGTGATGGTCTGTCTGCTCCCTTTCTGCTGCTCCTGGCAGACTCTTCCATCCAAGAAATATTTACAGTTAACTTTCTGTGGAAGCTACTGGAATGTCTTGCCCTGTGTTTTCTTGAGAGCCAAGAGAAAGCTCAAAAGTGAATTTGTACGAGCCAGGCCAGCCTGTCTTCCTTGCATTGATATTCTGCTGCTGTCCTTTGATTCTTCATTGTTGGGTGACTTCTAAACTTGTGTCGTGATGCTTGATCTTAATGCTTGTACTGACTTATCTAAGGAATGTTTTACTTTTTAATATTTAACCTATGAAACAGCACAATGATTTTTATATAGTATGTATTATCATTTTTTGGCCATGTAGGTTATCATCTCTTACAACTTAGCACCTGGTATCAAATGAGTTAATGCTGTTGGTCTGCACAGAAACTATTTTTATGATAAAATTACTTTGAAAAAATGTAGTTTAATTGAAATCCCATTTAAAGGGTAAAATTATGTTATTGATTATGATCAAAATGTCCCAGTCGCTGATGAATTCATCAATTTCTGTTTTAGACGTGTTATAAATCTTTTAGTGGAGGCAGGGGAATGTGAATGAGATGAATATTTTCAAATTATAGTGGCACATTACTTTTTATGGATAAGTTTTTTGTTCTTTGCAATGTACCTGTGAATGGAAATGGCTTTTTAAGAGCTGCTGTAGAAAAATAACACACAATGAAACCTACATTATAAATCAAGTTGAAATCAAACTGGTTTATGCCAATAAAAAGCATGTTTAAAAAATCATGACAAACTGTTTCAAAGCTTGCTGAAAAATTATTTCAGTAGTTACTCTGCTAGAGGAAAAAATGTGTAGTAAATAAGTGTAAAAGATTTAGCTTTCAAGGATAGTGAGGGATTAGACCAATATTTTTTAAGTACTGTAAGTTGCAACATCTTTCATTCAAGTTTCCAGGTCAAGATTCATAAAGCAGGATTTATTTCCTGCATTAATTTGAAGCTTATCTATGATGAATCTGTATTATAGACCTGTAGCATTGTTATTTGTGGCAATGAGAAAGTCTTAAGAATAGAAACTACTCACCAGTAATTGTATTTTCCAAGATGTACACCACCTTACTGTAAGTGGGAAATCTTCATTTTTCTGCGTGGAGGAGGTGGATCGTAAATTGGGTACAATTTGGAAGATACTTTACCTCCACCTAACTTCCCAGAATAATCAGGCTTCTGGGGCAGGGTCTGAGCACAGCTAATTCACTTAGCATCAATTTCTATTCAAAACATGCCTTGTGATACCAACCTTTTACACAGGCAGTGGGTGGTTCAGAGCACTGACAGAAAGCTGTAGGTGAGAAACTGGCTGCATGTACAATTGTCTGCTTCTATAAGTGTATTCCAAGCTCCTAGCCAAGCTAGGACAGGGAAACTGACCATCCCTACAGTTGAAGCTGGGACCTTTTGTAGCAATAAAAGATTCATGAGGCAATAGAGTCAGCTTCTGTAAGTGCCGAGGCGGGTGTGATTTGTAGGCTGTGATCCCTTTGTGCGCACAGTGACCCAGATGCTGCGGTGGGAGTGGAACAACCCCCTCCTGGTCCTCTCTACAGCTCAAGAGCTTTTTCCTAGGAAGAAGTTGTGGCTTCTGGGTGACCATGGCCTGGAAATCAGCACTCCTGCTTTCAGATGAGTGCTCTAATTAGAATATTATTGTATGAATGAAGGACTCTTCTCTAACTGAAGTAAAATCACTATCGGTGTGCTGCTAGCATAGTTTTGTACAGTCATTTTTAAACTATTAAGTATGTTTGTGCTTGGCATTGCTTACAAAATTTTACTGAGCTGTGAGGACTGTTCCTTCATGAACAGAGGGTGAGGCTCCTTGGGCTGTGATTCATGATGGAAGGTACCTGGTACCTGCCTGAGATATTGCCATTGTTCCTCCTGCTGCTTGTTATGCCAATGATGGTCTGTGCTCTCTCTGTTTTTAAGGGGTTTATAACTGTGCTACATAAACTGCACTGAGAAACTGATGATGGTTTTGAGAAGTTTTTTGATGAGGGCTTGGTTTTTTGGTTTTTGTGTTTTGTTTTGTTTTTTTTTTAATTAGCTGAATCAGTTCCTCATGTCATAACCAAGAAGTCAATCTCCTGCTGCAGTAGTGGGGAGAATGGCAACTTCATAATGTGGTATATCAATCCGAGTGTTTGTAGCATGAAGCTACAGACAGACTGCTTTTTATAATGAGGTCCTTTAATATGGCTTGTCTGCAACACTGAAAATACTAAGCATGCTGATTTTCTCTCCAGACAGCAGATATTTAGTATACTTGAGTAAAGCAAAGCGTACTGAAAGATGGAAGAAACACTGGTGTGTTTCTTTGGTTTGCTATTTAAGGAGGTGCCTGACTGTCCAGAGGAGGGTGTACATTCTTCATTGCCAGGATATAGGGAGGAAAAGGGAAAGAAAGAAAGAAATTGGGTTTTTTTGATGATACTTGTAGCAGATGGAGCTTTCTTCCCCCTTTCCATATTTAACCATAGCCCTTGTAAAGGTATTTAAGTGCTGCACAGTTGTGTAGAATAATAAATTGTAAAAAGGAAGATTATTGGGGAGGGGGAACATTATAATTATTCTAATCTTACTGAGAAAATGAATCAAACTCCAAATTAGGGGAGTGTTTATAAATACAGGAATTTAAGAAGAGTTAATAAGTAATAGATGTTGCTGTTACACCGGTAACAGGACTTGCAGATGCTCTGTAATCATCTGAATAGACTGTGATGTAGCTTATGAGCAACCTGTTAGATTCCCTAATCAGTTAATTAATCACTTGGTACATTAATTTTCATAGCCTGTTATGAACTATTTATAATGCCAGTCTTTGAACTTGTATGGAGATGTGGGTTCCTCAAGAGCGAAGAGACTAGCGTGACCGTGTCATAGTTGTCAAAGAGAGATTACTCAACAGAGCTGGAGAACATCTGCTTATTCAGACCACCCTGCTCAAGCAAGAGGCCAATAGCCATCTCTGTGTTAGGAATTGGAGCTCCTTCCTAGTTTTGAGTTTCAGGCTGGGGAATTTAATTTCCATTATCTAAAATCTAATCTCCCAGAAAATCCATGTTATCCTTGAATCTTCTGAACATGCAAATCTATGTCTCAGTCCTCTAGTTCTTGCAGCAAATCCATCTGCATGTGGCTGTCCACATCAGTCTACTAGTTATGCTAGTGGTACTTATGAATATCATAGAGCTGGTAGTAACAGACTAAAAGTATTTGGCTGCTGAAGTTTAAATTAGAAATTAAATTGAATCTGGAGTCTGAAACTCCATAAATAAATAAAAATAATAATAGTTTCCTGAATAGAATTGGAAGGAAAACTTAGGTCTTGGAAAACAGGGTGCATTTTAGTAAAAGAAAGAGTGCCACTACCAGAGAAGTAGAAGGGGTACTGTCCAGACTTTACTGTCACTATTAAAACCAGTTAACTTTTATCTGTCAAGGGTTCACTGTCTACCTACAGCAAGTGTAACCTTCAAAGATGTAATACTGCCTTAAAGAAATGCTTTTAATATTTCTCGGGAAATGTTATGCTATAGGTCTAAGGCAGTGTGGGTGGCCACAGAAGCTACCCTTTGTTGCAGGCCCTGAGGATTTGTTGTAGAGGTTCAGAAACCTTTGAGGTTGTGAGCAACGTTTCACTCATCTGAACAGTGGGAGCAGAGAAAACACAACTAATAGGTTTTTGTACTTAAACTATTTTCTGCTATGGTGTAGAGGATAACAAGCTGAAGAGAAACTTTATAATAACCTTTATTCTGGTTGCCTCCATCAATATGTATTTTTTCCTGTGGAGAAAAGTATCTATTTTTTCCTGATTACTTCTGTATTAGAGATTGCTGACTCATGCTAGTGTTATAATTATTTTAGGCTAGGGGCTGTCTGGGCATCAGTTGCCTGGTGGTGAGCATATGGGAGTGTTTTGGTTGTTTGGTTGTTTTTTTTTTTTTAATGACATGGTTTTGTTTTATCTTTGGGTTTTGGAGTTGTTTTCTTTTAAACTGTCTTTATCTCAACCGATGAGTTTTCTAACTTTTGTTCTTCTGATTCTCTTCCCTATCCTGCTGGGAGGGAATGAGCGGCTGTGTGGGGCTTAGCTGCCTACCTGGGTTAACCTCAGAAGCGTGAGTTTTCCTCTGTTGCCCCCATCAACCAAAACAGGCAATCTGGCTTTAGAGTGATAATAGTATATAATGCATGGGACCATGTGGTTTTAAACTTTCTTGATGTACGAAGTAGCACGTTATTGGACAGCAAAGGTTAGTCTACCACATGATAGCTATACAAATGTATTTTCATTTTTCACCTAGTATTGTAATGCAGTCAGAAGATCTGCTTGAACTATGAACAAACTACCAAACAGGAACACATAAATAAATGAAGTTGAAATGAAAGCAAACTCTAGTCACCCATCAACAAAAAACTGCACTCAACATCAGCTAGTGTTTTCAAAAAGTTGTATTATCTCCCTTTTGATTCTATGCCTCAACAGGGGAGCACGACTTGGTGGTTTTTTGGGTTGGGTTTTGGGTTTTTTGGGCTGAGAATCAAAGAAAATGCTCAAAATGTCTGTATTTTTGAGTATTTATGATCCTGCCTAAAAGAAGAAATAATATACATAATTTGGGGATCTTGATATATACTTTACATCTTATTTACAGACTTTAGTTTTTGAAACTGGTTTCCAAAGCAACCTGACTGCTTGGGTTGTAATCCATTGAATGGATAAGAACAGTATTCTTGAAAAAGAATTATGTAGATTGTAATCACAGGCAGCACAAAGGTCACATGAGAAGTATTGAGAGCTTCATCCAGCTTTGTTCAGGGGTTGGCAAAACAACGTTCTGAGGTTATAAAGCAGTAAAGGTGTGTTTTAGCGGAGCTTAAAATCAGGTTTTTTTCTAAGACAACAGTAACAACTCTTAGTCAATAATGACTTGCATTGTGTTTGTAGCAGTGACCTAGAGGTGAAAGGCTCCACATCTCATTTCCAACCCTCTGAGCCATGTAGTCCTCCATAATTTAATTTGATGCAAAGCAATTATCAGCCAATTGATTTTCATTGATTGTGCTGTAGGACAGAAACTTTCCTGTTGCAGCAAACAAGAACTTCTTCTGGGACAGCCTTCCACCCGTATTCAGAGTAAGCAGAGAAATGTTTAAAGCTATCAAACTGTAGCTCTTAAAGACCTTAGACATCAGTAGATAGTAAGTTTCTTGCTTTACTTTTTGTGTCAGCATATTCCCTCTGAGCTTTCTTGAGCAGTTCTTTGTCCTTTTGTTGTCCCTTACTTGTGCTTTCTTCTGGTTTAATGCTTGCTTACTTTCTCCTTCCCCCACCCTCCTATTTCTTGACTATTTTCTAGTATCTTTTTCTCTCTTCCCCATCACAGTATTTTCAATTGACAGATGACTCTTCAGTCTTCCTCTTAGACACGTGTTCGGTCTCTCTTTATTCATTTCTGCTATATTTGATTACCCTGTATTGCTGTTCTTCTTGGATCCCCATTCTCTAGTCCTTTATCTCACGATCTGTTGCTCAGTCCCAATCATGCTTCCCCCTCCCCTTACTTAAATTATTGTCTTTGGTTTTCAACTTTAAAGTGGCAAAGTCAGAAATTATTTTTTTCTCTTTCCTTTTTTTTTTTTTTTTTTTTTTTTTCTCATTTAACTTAACCTTAGAAAGAAGGGCTGAAAGTATTTCAGGTCCGAAAGTCCAAAGAGTCTTTTGATGTACACAATAATAATTGGATTTTGAGTTTGCTGTTTTAGATTTGTAATGCTTTATTCAACTAAAGAGGGTAACTGTGGATTGGCTTTTGCTAGTCTCTTGGATTTAAAATGTTTTTTAGCATATATGAATAGTATCAGAGCCAAGGGATTTATAACTTTTTCACTTGTCTCAAAAATAATGGCAGAGCTTGCTTTTTTCTCAGAAATTATTTGCATTTATAATGTACATTATTAATTTATATTAATAATTTACAATTATTAATATTTGAAATTGTCTAGAAATGTAAAGAATGAGACATGCCTGTGACTTATCTCCTTGGCAATATAATCATGCAAATGATAACTAGTGATACTGGGTGGGTTGATCTTTTTCTTTTTCTTTTTTTTTTTTTTTCTTAAGATTAAGTTACAAATCTTGAAAAGAGAAAATAAAGACACCCAAGACAGCTTTTCTGCTTAGTACCTATTTCATACAATCATAGGATAATTCAGATTGGAAGGGACCTCAGAAAGTCATCTAGTCCAAACTCCTGGTCAAAACACAGTCAGTTCAGACCAGGCTGCTCAGGTCTTGAGTCCAGTCAGGTCTCAATGATCTTCAAGAATGGAGATTCCACAACCTCTTCGGGTAACGTCTTCTAAGGCTTGATTGTTCCTTTTCAATAAGGAACACATGAGAAGAGAAAGGGTTGGATATTAAGAAAAACATTTCTATGTTCTTAACCCACCTGGCAGGTTTGGTTCTTGCTTCTAAGAATTTATGATCTGACCAAGGATGATGACATAGGCCATGTATGTAATGTCTTGATAAAATAAGTATATTCATACTGTCTTCCTTGTTTGGCTGTCTTATGAGAGCTAGTGGAAAGTATTTTGAGGACATAACACCAGCCCAAATTTGCCAGTGTTCTGTCTTTAGTAAAGTTTGATACTATCTTCAGAAGTCAGTGAGCAATTTAAGAGTATTCTTCCCAATGTCCCATTCTAGTCCCCCTTTTTAAGTCTCTTAATCTACTACAGCTATGTTGTCAGTTCTGCCCCTTGCCCCTTACAAGAGTGTTTTCTGTTTTAAGGTCAGACTGAAGCTGGACATCATTTTGGAAGGACGTAAGGACAAGGCAGACA